ATTCCACCCTATCTTTTCCTATATCAACCTATTCTTTCATATTTCAACCTATTCTTTTCTATTTAAACCTATTCTTTCATATTTAAACCTATCTTTTCCAACCCATCCTAACCTATCCTAACCTATCCAAACCGTTCCTTTCCTATCTCAGCTTATCCTTCCAACCTTAGATTTTCAACTGGATAAAAAAAAGAAAAAATCAAAATTAGAATGGGAGGGAGGAAGGAGTAGCGATGGAAAAGGAGGTGAGTGGGTAAGGTGAAGAAGAGGCTGGAGAAGATGGAAGTAGAGGGTAAAAAATTTCGTGGATTTTCAAAATTTTAAAAAATTTAATGAAGATCGAATTTTGATGGAGACAAATATTTAAAATTTCAATCATTCATAAACCTTCCCTGGGGTCCCTAGATGTCCCACAAAAAATTTGGGCCCGATCGGTTCAGCCGTTTTGACGTTTATTGGATACAACCAGACAGGCAGACAAGCCAAATTTATATATAGAAGTGGGGGTAGTGGTATGGTACTTGCTGAATGAGTTATTACCAAAAATTTAGTGCTTAGAAACTAAAATATAATAAACTTTATTTAGAACAAGAAAAAAATAAAAGTATTATTTAAAAATAAAATCACAAAACCTGTTTAAACTTTCTAATGGCAGAGGTTAATGTAAGTTTTATAAAAATAAAAATTAAATGTTTTAATTTTTATCAACTCATATTTTGTTTAATGTTTTTATTTTTATCATCTCATATTTTGTTTAATGTTTTCATTTTTATCATCTCATATTTTGTTTAATGTCTTCATTTTTATCATCTCATATTTTGTTTAATGTTTTCATTTTTATTATCTCATATTTTGTTTAATGTTTTCATTTTTATTATCTCATATTTTTTGCCCCCCCCCCTTATTAATAAAAATAAAATCACAAAACCTGTTTAAACTTTCTAATGGCAGAGGTTAATTTAAGTTTTATAAAAATAAAAATTAAATGTTTTCATTTTTACTATCTCATATTTTGTTTAATGTTTTTTTTTATTATCTCATATTTTGTTTAATGTTTTCATTTTTATTATCTCATATTTTGTTTAATGTTTTCATTTTTATTATCTCATATTTTGTTTAATGTTTTCATTTTTATCATCTCATATATTGTTTAATGTTTTCATTTTTATCATCTCATATATTGTTTAATGTTTTTATTTTTATTATCTCATATATAGTTTAATGTTTTCATTTTTATTATCTCATATTTTGTTTAATGTTTTCATTTTTATTATCTCATATTTTGTTTAAGGTTTTCATTTTTATTATCTTATATTTTGTTTAATGTTTTTATTTTTATTATCTCATATATAGTTTAATGTTTTCATTTTTATTATCTCATATTTTGTTTAATGTTTTCATTTTTATTATCATAATTTTTGCGCGCCGCGCGTCAGAGCGCAAAAAAAAAATTTTGCCCCCCCCCCCTTAAAAACATCTTTTTTGAAAAAATAGTGATACCTTTTTTAACTATGTAAAATATATATACACACTTCCATATAACAAGTGCTAAAAAAGTATTTATATAATTTTCTTAAGTGGACTTATCAGACAATACCTCTTAATACTGTGGTGTAAGCTTTTAAAGGTTAAAAAAAGAGATGGAAATGCTTCTTAAAAATATCTATATTTGCATAGAAACTATATATATTGTATAATTATAAATAATGATATAAGTATTTTTGTGGGTTTTATTTAAAAATTTATCTTTTCACGTGCTATTAACAACTTAGTTAGCACGTTTTAATAAAGTTTTTGACGTGCTTTTAACAAAACAGATTTAAGTAAAACCCAGGCGTACATGCTATTAAAAGGTTAGACGTCTCTAATAATAACTCTGATTCCATGAGTTCTATTAAGAAGTATAGAAAAGCACGTTTTAATTATGTCTGTTTTGGATGAAAAAATGCTTTACACTCTGAGGGTTTAAATACTTGTGGTGGAACCGAATTCCATACTCACATACTTACACCCTCAACATCCATAATCTTATACAGGGGGACCCATAAAACTGTGGCTAGACGACATTTTAGCAATTTTTGTGTATTTGATTGCTATGTTTTATGATTGTTGGCCAGAATATTTAAAATCATAATTTGAATCTAACCAAATAGATTACAAATTTTCAATTATTTGAGTCTAATTGTCGTCTTCTTTTTCCATAGTTTTCTGTAGTGTAAAACTTTTGTAACACGCAGACAGCATAAATAAATGTGAAGATGAGTGTCTGCTAAAACTCATTTAAAGTCTGACATGTATTTAAAATGTGCATTTTATAGCATAGTTAGACTAATCTTTCGGAAACCCTCACTCTTTAGTTCTAATTAGGGCTGGACACATTTGGTTTTTTTTCAAGTCCTTCGTAACCATTTGTTAATTAATTAACAACTTTTAGTATTTTCCTTTGTCAAAGAAATTAAAACATGCGTTTTTCCGTTCATTTACATTCGTCAGATTTAAACTAATATTTATTAAAGTAGCGAAGTCCAGGCATAGCCCCCCCCTCGTCCCCCGCATAGTCCTTCCGTCCCCCCCCCCGTCCTTCCGTCCCCCCCTGCCCCCCGCCTAGTGCTTCCGTTTTACCAAATTTTATCAAAGATTTACAAAAGTTGAGTTTCAGATTCATTTGACCTCCAGTTGGAGTAAGATAAAATATACTCATTTGAATTAAACCACATCCCCGGAACCTGGTCCGGAAATTTCAGAATACGAAGTAATCTCAAAGGTTATTTTGCACATAAAGTAATACAAAATTATGGAAAAAGAGCAAAGGGAAATAGGTCTATACTACAAAATCTAATTTTACATTCTCTATATCTTTTCAACCCAATGTCGAAGACCTTAGATATTTCATATTATGAATTCTGTTAGATCAAAAATCTATGTTTGAAATATCAAAGGTTTAAACCATTAAACTTCGAAAATATAGGGACAAAATATTTTTGTGACAAAGACTCAATTTCTTTGTGTAAAAATTCAACTCTAAAAGTAAATGAAAGGTAAAGGTCTGCAATAATGTTTAAAATATAACAATTTGCGAACATTTAAAGATTACTCATAGCTGTAAGAGATTTAGAGATATTAGTGTATTTTAGTATATTTAACAATTACAGAAATTTTAGTATTTTAACTTGTCTAATATATTGATACATAATTTATTACAAAGAATAAACTTTCTCTAACGTTTCAAAGTTATCGACAGTCTTTGTTATTAGTGACCTCTAACGTTTCAAAGTTATCGACAGTCTTTGTTTTGCCTTTATGCAGTCTTTAAATGATTCACTTAATAAAGAAACCAGTTTACAGTCCTGGATAGGGTTTTAACATTTTAAAACAGTTTTCTGTAAGGGTTTACTTTTTTAACTATATCCTTCTAGCAAATATATATAAAGGAAAAAAGAAATATTTTTGGTTCATTTCTCGCAAATATCTTTTTGATATTTGTAAACTTTCGTAGATTTATGAAGCCTTTGAAAAGTCCAAAAAAGGCAAAACGAACTAACCCTCACTAGTTGTAAGAACCAAAATTGTAGGAAAATACCTCTAAAGTCTCATCCTGTACGGTCAACCCTGTATATTTAATTCCCATGAATGGTAAGACCAGACTGATCAATGATCAGGTGCAGTTCAATGTTAATTGGTTTTTATTGAATCAAAGAATTTGCTAATGACAAAAAATGTCCTCCCAATTGGTCTAGACTTGTCAAAGATCGTTTTTTTTATTCATTTTTTCTTGTAAAATAAATTTCTTGTGTTTTCTGGTTTTTCTTCTTTCTTCATAAAAATGAAAATACTATTAAAGAAAAATAATGGACAATTAACTCTAATGTTGGATCTACAGAACTGAAACCATAAAAAAGAAATATATTGTTTTCATGAATATCTAGTTTTACTCCAGGTGTATCACTTGGGTCCAGATTGCCGTGAAAGCTGAACCAAATTTTAAGACCGAGCGACCTATGACTTTACCTCAGTAACTAACATAGTTTTTAGCCATAGACATGTTTATTTTATAACTTTAAAGCACCTAATTTTAGCTTTAGTTTTAAAGAAGTAATTGGCAATCAGAGATTTTCGTGTGAGAGCTTGCAACCTTTGGATGACTGTGTAGTGTATTAAAAACTGTGTACTGTGTTCAAGTATTCAGTTCACGTAGAATAGGATAATCTATCACAGAGAAATTGGTTTTCAAACTTACAAAACTCTTCAATCCTAGGTTTTGGACACGGTTTTAAGGGATAGTACGACCAGAGAGAAACCAGTTAATCTCTACGTCTGCTATACATTTTAGGGGTTTAAGCATAGAGAATAGAATATTATTAGAGGGGAATTTACTAGAAAAAAGTGTAAAACGGCCATTTTGTTGTACTGTTTCCATACTGCAGGTGTACTTCACATATTTATGCTATATAACCTTTTGGGCCCTGGAATATCATTTTATAGAAAATCTAAAATTAATGTTAAAAGAAAACCAAATTATGAAATAGGCTGGTCTCATAATTGACCAATGATCATTTCACACAGACTCTTTGCCTTTCACTTTACAAACGATGATTTTCCGTTATAATTATAAATCAAATGATGGTTTTTATTCACCTAATTCATTATAAATTTTACTTAACAGCTTTAAAAATTTCGAAATTGAAATGAATAGTCCAGGGAACATACTGTATTAATGTACTCTACTGCACATAATTTGTGAACATTTACATGATTTGTACACTTTGAACTCCCTTTCAGGCTGAAAGGGACTGAAAAAATTCATACCGAGAGATTCTTTAAATTCCCCTCTAATATATATTCTATTCTCTATGGGTTTAAGACAGGCGGTTTATATTCTATTTTCTCTCCAAAAACGTAGAGTAGAAAAAAACCATCAATTTAAATCAAAACTTTGTTTCATTTTTACCCTTTTTAATTTTTAGCAAACACTCCCTTAAAATCTTGCTCCTTTGATTTACCTTGAGCTAGAAGTTTGACCGTAATCTCTGTTGTCTGTTTGTCTGGAACTTGTTCTAGTATTTCCTTTTCCCGACAGAGGTCTCTGTAAACCAATAAATTTTTTTTTTAGATTTTAAATTAAGAGAGAGGTTGGAATTTTTGAATGAAACAATTTTTCGGAGTTGCAGGATTAATGTTTTCAATCACGAAAATTCATTTAAAACTATTTTTAACAATGTAAAAAACATAATCAGGCAAAAATGTATGCAGAATATTTTTCAATTGGATTAATTTGATATTTTAAAATGAAATAAGTTCCCTGGGTTCTAAGGGGTTCTTGTTTCAATTAGTTTTATCTCTGCTAGTGCTAACTATATATGCTAGGATAGTATTTCATGCTTTAAACTAAATCTAACTTTCAGAAAAATCCGTGAACTTTGCCAGGATTTTATTTAAAAGCGTGAAACTTAATAGAGTTTATTATGTCCGTGCCTTATTGAAAAAACAAGGAAGATTAGTCAAATTGTGATTGAAAGTCTCAGTTTGCTGAAACAAGGGCCAAACTGTTAAATCTCCGTGGCTACAAACATCACTTCGGGGAATCTTTGACGATAATAATTGCTTATTTTATCATTTGGAACCCAGCATTGTCTGAAATATAAGTTGACCATCTCAACCTGAAATATAAGTTGACCATCTCAACCTGAAATATAAGTTGACCATCTCAACCTGAAATATAAGTTGATTATCTCAACCTGAAATATAAGTTTACCATCTCAACCTGAAATATAAGTTGACCATCTCAACCTGAAATATAAGTTGACCATCTCAACCTGAAATATAAGTTGACCATCTCAACCTGAAATATAAGTTGACCATCTCAACCTGAAATTCTAGAACCAAACAAAGAACATTCCCGATATTCTACCGAGATCGGAGTTACCCGATCAATATTTGAGGCAAACCAGTCGAGGGTTTCAGGAGTTATGACCGGACATACATGCAAAACAAACCGACAAATAGAGATTACTACTTTATGCATATAGAATAGATTACTTGAATATTTCCTAATATATTCCTATATTCATCTAAATATTGTGTTTTTTACAAAAGCTGATCTAAATTAATAATGTAACTCCAGACATGAACCTGGTTTTCAAATCTTAGCTTTTCCTTTTTTCATTTTGCAACTTTTTAATGTACATTGTACATATCAAATAAATGGAAAAGTTCTGGCAAGAAATTTTGACTCTGCAATTGTTTAGAAGACTAGCTTTGCCCATAAAGGCCAACTTAGAATTGGTAAACTAAACCTGGAATAATTTTGTGGTTCTACCAAAATGTGAGGCAAATCGGTGAAGGGGTTCTTGAGTTATGATCCGACATACAACCAAACAAACACCCAAATTAGAATAATACCTTATTGTTATAGATAACTAGCTTTGCCTGGATTTCCCCTATAAAGTCAACTATCTCAGGTTAGAATGTTAAAATCAAGCTAAGAACATGCCCGTCAGTTTCCCGGGTTCCCCAATCAAAATTTGAGGCAAAACGGGGTTCAGGAGTTATGATCAGACATCCAAATAAACAAAAAGACAGACAAACAGAGATTAGAGTTTTATACTTTTCTGAAATAGAGAATAAATATCAATTTCTTATAAATATTTTCAGTCTATTCAGTATACATACATCATTCAAGAAACTTAATGAAAAACTTGAAATAAATAAAAATGCATTAAAAATAATCCCCCTCATACCTCAGAAATAAAAATATTAAAATTAACAACATTTCATAATTTTAAGTAAAAAATTTTAATTACGGTATTTTTTGTAATAAATATTTTCAACTTTTTTTTTAAATTTTACTGTTTTCAACAAAATATACCGAGGCTTAAAGTATTCATTTTCCTTATTTTTTTGCAAAATAATTTTGCGCTCCTCGAAGCATATTATTAGATTGTTTTCAGTATTTAAAATAAAATTTGCAAAATGCAAATAAATTTTGATGAAGGTTAATGCATGTCCTAAAAAATGAATCCTGTCAAGAATTTGAGTTGTTTATTTTGAGATACTTAAACGTAAAATAAATGTTTTGAATCTTCAATTCATTTGTCAGGATGTGATGCTATCCGTAGCTGCAGGGTTTGGGATCTTGAAATGTTTATGTTTTTACTTTCAAACCTGAGCTCTTTTATTCATCAGACCTGGGGCTCTGTAACTCATCAAACCTGCCGCTCTTTAACTCTTCAAACATAGAGCTCTTTCACTCATCAAACCTAGAGCTCTTTAACTCATCAAACCTGGCGCTCTTTCACTCATCAAACCTAGAGCTCTTTAACTCATCAAACCTAGAGCTCTTTAACTCATCAAACCTGGAGCCCTGTAACTCATTATACCTTGAATTCTTTAACTCATCAAACATGCAGCTCTAACTCATAAAACCTGGAGCTCTTTAACTCTTAAAACCTAGAGCTCTTTAACTCATCAAACGTGGAGTTCTTTAACTCATAAAACCTGGAGCTCTGTAACTCACAAACCTGGAACTCTTTAACTCATCAAACCTGGAGCTCTTTAGCTCATCAAACCAGGAACTCTGTAACTCATCAAATCTGGAGCTCTTAAACTCATCAAACATGGAACTCATTAACTCATAAATCGTGGAGCTCTTTAACTCATCAAACCTGGAGCTCTTTAACTCATAAAACCTAGAGCTCTTTAACTCATCAAACCTGGAGCTCTGTAACTCATTAAACCTTGAATTCTTTAACTCATCAAACATGGAGCTCGTTAACTCATAAAACCTGGAGCTCTTTAACTCTTAAAACCTAGAGCTCTTTATTTCATCAAACCTGGAGTTCTTTAACTCATAAAACCTGGAGCTCTGTAACTCACACACCTGGAACTCTTTAACTCATCAAACCCGGAGCTCTTTAGCTCATCAAACCAGGAGCTCTGTAACTCATCAAATCTGGAGCTCTTAAACTCATCAAACATGGAGCTTTTTAACTCATAAAACCTGGAGCTCTTTAACTCATCAAACCTAAAGCTCTTTAACTCATCAAACCTGGAGCTCTTTAACTCATAAAACCTGGAGCTCTTTAACTCATTAAACCCGGAGCTCTTTAACTCATCAAACCCTAAAGCTCTTTAGCTCATAAAACCTGGAGCTCTTTAACTCATCAAACCTAAAGCTCTTTAACTCATCAAACCTGGAGCTCTTTAACTCATAAAACCTGGAGCTCTTTAACTCATTAAACCCGGAGCTCTTTAACTCATCAAACCCTAAAGCTCTTTAGCTCATAAAACCTGGAGCTCTTTAACTCATCAAACCTGGAGCTCTTTCACTCATCAAACCAGGAGCACTTTAACTCATCAAACCCGGAGCTCTTTACCGCATCAAACCTGGAGATCATGAACTCATCAAACCCCGAGCTCTTTAACTTAAGCCCTTTTATTTGTGAAACGTATGTTCCTGAAATATAAAAAAAAACTTTTTAAAAATGGCGGAGTTTTTGCCTTTACAATTATAAAAGATACAGAATCTGTAAGTTTTAGCAACCTCACTTTACACCAATCTTTATGGATTGTAAAATTTCTTTTTTATGTGAAATCTTTTGAGAAAAGTATTCAAGAGCTTAAAATGTGTGTACATGAAACTAGATTCCATAATTTTTATATAAAACTTTAGATGTTCCACTAAGACGTTTTTAAAGTACATGTTTAGGATTACGGCCACGAAGGATGAAGAGAGTTTCCACTAAAAATGTATATTTAGAAACACACATTTGGGATAATTTTTTACATTATTCCAAAATTTAATTTAATTAAATTTAAACATACAAACGTTATCCTTTTTTTCTGCAATCATTTGAAAAATTAAGATCTTTTTTAAAAACATTTCTCTTTTATTTTATAAAACTAGTTTCACATACTAAACTAATTTCTAAGATGGTTGAGTAACAATTCTTTCTAGAATATTCCTTATTCTAAAAATTAATTAATGTGACGTGCACGATTTAAAAAATGTTATCTGAATTTTTGAAAAGATTTAGATTTGGTTTCCTGATATACTGAACACTCTCCTCCTCACACATTCTTATTCAGGTTCAGCACAGATTGGTTAGTTTCTCCAGGTGCTCCTTTATACTTAATTCTCCTTGTACTCTTCAGTACTGGCACTTGTGTTAGATCAGTTCTACTTCTGAATTAAATTGCTCCTCTCTACTGTGTAATAAGTATACTTCTCCAGGTGCTTCTCTATACTGAGGATAGAATGAAACTAAACTAATTATTCCCCGGCCTCCTCCTTCCTCCTACTCCCTGATATAACCCGGAGTAAGCCTCGTGAAACCCCGTATACACATTAGTTCTACTCCGCACCTAGATACCTGACTCTGGTACAACCAGATACAACGGAGTAACTCAACTAGAAGAAAGGAGAAAACTGAGAGGAGAGAGAAAAAGAAAAAAGAACCTTAAGGGACTGTAAAGGTAAGTCAAGTGACCCTCCATCGATATATTGGCCTGTCTGATTCCCGACGGTACCTATAAAAGCTTTGTCTGATCATGTGATCAAGTATGAGTTAGATACAGTTGTGAATCAGACATGCCCCTCTTTTTTTAAAAGGTGTGTCACTTAAAATTACAACGACATTTCCTTTAATAGAAGACGACTTTTACGTATATGATGTTTTATTGAGTTACTAAGCCCAGAACGAAAATAAAGGAAAACTTACAATTGCTCGAGTTTCTTGGCACTCAATTTTCAGAATGAATAAAAAAGGAATTCTCAGTCATGTATGACCAAATAAAAGTTAAAGAGGTACCGCTCTGGTGCAGTATCGTACAGGGTGTCCCACGAAACATGACAGTATGCAGGACGACTTGAATGTCGTCTTAATTTTTGATATAATTTGCTGCGTTTATTTGTCAATCTAATTTTAGAAGTAAATTTCTAGAGATAATAATCACAAAATTTCCCTTGTCCTTCCATTTCCAAAATGTGGTCTACCTTTTTTGTGCTTTCAATATTGCCCGAGATATGAAGAATTTCGTTCAGATTTCGACAATTTTGCTTTTATTTAAAAAAATTGAAATCTGAACCAAACTCTTTATATCTCCGGTAATATTGAAAGCACAAAAAACGCAGACCACTTTTTGGAAATGCCAGGGCTAGGAGAATTATGTGATAATTGTTTCAAGAATCATGCACGTTAAAGTAGATAGAAGACTAAATGTCACAAATAAATTCAAATACCAAAGACGACTTTCAAGTCGTCTTCCTATTGTCATGTTTCGTGGGACACCCTGTACATAATGAGCCACTAGGCTAAGGAAGAAGAACAATTATCTGATTTAAAGCACTGCTCTGCTAAAAATTGAAAATTTTGTAAGAGTACATAAGAATTTCAAGGGACTATCATAATTTTATAGAATATAAAATATTTATTTATTACAGTATAAATATATGTATATTATAACATTCTGGGTTATAGTTTAACATGATATGATAGTCAACCATGGGAACATTATGTTATATGTCTTTTAAAGGGAATACTAACTTAAAATCAATTTATCTCTTAAACTGTGCAGACCTGTTGGCTGTTACATTACACTCATGCAAAGAATGCTGCAAATCTGGACCGTGGTTTATGTGGACTAATGGTTCATCTGGACTATGGTTCATCTGGACTATGATTCATCTGGACTATGATTCATCTGGACTATCATTCATATGGGCTATGATTCGTAAAGACTAATGGGTTTTTCAGGACTATTGTTCATCTGGACTAATGGGTTTATCTGCAGACTATTATTAATTTAGACTGTGGTTTCTTCATCTGGACGTTATGGATCATCCCGACAGGTTCGTCCGGACAATGGGTTCATTTGGACTTTGGCTTAGTTGTACTTAGATGTAACTCTAATTGGATAATGAGATAGAAAGATAGATGTTACCGCCATACTATTTCTATTGGTTCAGAATAGACAAAAAACACATGGCTGAACCCTGATTCGATCAGACGCTAATGGAGTGCAGAGTGATTCAAAGGTTTCAAGCTCTCACGCAAACCCAATGAGAATTTTGCCAATTATTTCTTTAAAACTAAATCTAGCAACAAGTGCTTGAATCGTTCTAAAAGTAAAATGTTTAAAATGTGTAGCAAAACAAAAAAGTATGAATGCGTTATTGGCTTAAAACACGTCCCAACTCCCAGTCTTCAAAATTGATGCAATTTTTGCAGTCATCTGGATCTACGTGGAATGTAATGAATAATGAGTATAAGAAAGAAAAGACTGAAACTACAATGGATACATCGGATGAGACATTGAGACAAATTATATGACAAGTTTAATATATATTGTTTAGGGTGGAACAGAACAAGAACAAGGTTTGAATAAAAAATGCATTATAAATATTTTTTTAATTGAGTGGAAATTCGAGAACAAAAAAGAAAAAAGAATAAACGGATATTGGGGAAAATGAATCATAGAGAATAAATATGAAAAGTGGAAAAAGAACTAAATAAAAAATGAAAAAATAATTGAACTGATCCTTGTTAGAGAGATAAGGTGTGAATATGATATAATATGAGTGACCCTACTTTAACAGAGAGAGCAATCTCGATTAACAACTTCACAGCGATCTGAGCACAAATGATGAAGATTCCCTGACATTCGAATATTAATAATTTTCTATCATGGCTTCTTAATTAAGGTCACTTATGGATTTATACAGCAGAGATAAAAAAGGAAATTGTCAGAATTAATTCCTTTTCTAAATGGAAAAACGACGATATCTTCCTCATTGTTGCTCAGATAAAGGTTTTAAGTTGCCTAGCTACCCTTATCTAGCGAATCCTTAAATTTTAGCAACTTTTGATTAACCCTATACCTGCTGGGGAATGGGGTTAAATTGGGCCCCCCCCCTGTAGTTTAACATAACTCAAAAAGTATTGGTCTGACGTTGCTATGTCGTAGAACATTTTTTATAACCAATTCGTTTGGGATCCAGCAATGATCGCGATCTTATGCACACCTACGGATTAACTTAATTCCTCGTCGATTTCCCGTAGGGATAACTGTAATTGAGGGATCAAGCATGTATCCCCAAAAAATGTGGCCGCATTAGATATCGAGATCAAACGTTCAAGATAAACGAAACTTCACACAAATGTTTCGACCTCTGAAGATTTTATAATTGTATAATGTATTATTACAAATACTTACAAATTACATAATTATTGACGACATTTCTAATTAAAAGAAAGAATGAAGAAAACTATTATGCTACTGTAGGTGTGAATATATAAAGATTCAAAGCAAAACTAGATTTCTTATTTAGCTCAAAAAATCTGAAGAGCAACCATTTTTGTTGTAAATCAATTATTTAATTTCCACCTTCTAGAGCAAAAGCATGCTCCCCCCCCCCATTCCAAAACTGCTGGTTGCGCCGCCGGGTCGTAAAAATCTATTTCACAGATTATGGGTCTCACTGTAGGAAAACATTTAATTTAATTCCTTAGTTTAGTTGTCACATCGACTGCATTTACTCCTTGGAAACATGTTGCTAGTTTCTTGAATTGTCAAAGTTGTGAACTTACTTCTTTAATACACCACTTTTCACATTCTTTTATTGTCCTTTATGTTATCATCTAGAACTTTCATATTTATGATTCTAATTTTAGAAACTCTATTTTTTTCATCATTTAAATTTCGGGAATTCAGATATTAAAATAAAAATGAAATATTTTTATTTAAATAGATGTTCATAAAACTAAGTTTGGGACACCTGAATTCTCTCTCTACGATGCGCATTTGTGTTAATTATAATTTACAATTTAATAATCCTTATATCTTTGAATCCTGAGGTTATAGAATTCTGCCAGATCAAATATCAAAAGTTTAAAGATAAGAATTAGTCAATTAAATTTATATTTGAGTTATTAGTTTCTTTGTCTCACCTATCGCCATATTGTAAATGGCAAAAGTTTTGAGAAGATTTTAAACATTTTCTACTTTTACATGGTTTTCCCATGCTACCATGGTTATCCATATAGAAATTATACTTATCCATATAGAAATTATACTTATCCATATAGAAATTATACTTATCCATATAGAAAAAGGTAAAACTCTTGACAAATAAAGGTTTGTGAATAAAAGCAAGATAAATGTGTTTTTTTTCTCCAAATATCTGGTTCAAAGTCCAAATTGAAATGTTGCAATATTTGTTTTTCTAAAACCAATACTGGGCTGAAACTAGAAAAATTGGAAGAGTGTGCTAAAATAATGCTGCAGTAAGAGAGGGTGTAGCAGGATAGATAACGCAGTAAGAGAGGGTGTAGCAGAATAGATAACGCAGTAAGAGAGGGTGTAGCAGAATAGATAACGCAGTAAGAGAGGGTGTAGCAGGATAGATAACGAAGTAAGCGAGGGTGTAGCAGAATAGATAACGCAATAAGAGAGGGTGTAGCAGAATAGATAACGAAGTAAGCGAGGGTGTAGCAGAATAGATAACGCAGTAAGAGAGGGTGTAGCAGAATAGATAACGCAGTAAGAGAGGGTGTAGCAGAATAGATAACGCAGTAAGCGATGGTGTAGCAGGATAGATAATGCAGCAAGAGAGGGTGTAGCAGGATAGATAACGAAGTTAGCGAGGGCGTAGCAGAATAGATAACGCAGTAAGAGAGCACGTGGATTTAAAGGTTCTGTCAATATTCCAGAAAGCTGTGACTTTTGATCACAATTTGACCCATTAAACATCCTTTTTTCTTAAAATATGCATTTTGAATAAAAATGTATAAAATAAACAAATCCGTAAAGTAAATGATTATTGAATTAAAGACCAAAACACGTTTGATTTCAAATAGAAGAAACCGAATGCTGCTCACTCTGGTTAGTCCGGTGTGAGAGGGTGTATCAGGATAGATAACGCAGTAAGAGAGGGAGTAGCAGGATAGATAACGCAGTAAGCGAGGGTGTAGCAGAATAGATAACGCACTAAGAGAGGGTGTAGCAGAATAGATAACGCAGTAAGAGAGGGTGTAGCAGAATAGATAACGCAGTAAGAGAGGGTGTAGCAGAATAGATAACCCAGACAATACTTCAAATGCCTCCAAATCCGGCCGCTCAGCGAACATCTTACAGATCTTTATATGTTGAATTTTGTGTATAAAATTTTCTACTAAATATTTTAATAAAATTCTAATATGTTGCAGCAAAAATATATAAAACTGGCTTGGCCGCTTGGGAACCCAGCTTTGTCTGAAATATAAGTCAACCAACTCAACTTAAAATTTTCAAACTAGGTTTAGAACATTTGTATGTGGTTCAAACAAGTTTCCCATTCAAAAAATGGCTACTCCATACTCCTTACTTTAAAGAAAAATAATATTATATAAAAATCAGAATTTCATAATAAATCTGAC